ACTTGTTATAAGTAGGAAAGTATGTAATTATCTTATTTCATGTTCTCTATTTGACAGAAATTCGTTTCATGCCCAGTTCGTTGAAGTTTTTCTTGAAACAATAAGTAAGAAAATCCGGTTTTAGTAAATCAAAAGTGGAACACATATGGGTCTCAAAAAAGTCCCCGAGAAGGGAATCAGCCGGTTTAGATCTAACCGTTGATCTATTGGCTTATCTGTCAGCTTTCACAAAAAACGGTGGTTATCTGGGATTCGTTTCTAGCGTCCAAAGAGTTGCATACTCGTTGCAGAACAACGCCCTAGCGCTAATGTTCCACCCATTAGATTTGTTAACTTCTCTAACACAGACTACACTAAAGGTGCGGAACACTCGGCACCATCAACGCGTAAGAACACGTAAAATCAGCAAAGCCAGATTTTCAGGTATATTCAAGAAAAACTGTGTGACGAACTCAAGAAAATTAGTGCGTTGTCGATGGTCCTGCAGATCACCATATTGTATCTGACATTGCAGCGCCGCCAAATTACACGCCATATCACGTGTAACCGGATGATTCCCCTGTAGCACACCCATTTTGCACTGCTCGTACAACAAATTCAATTGCACAGGGTCACGACAATCCACGTTGGTATCCGAGAAGAAAAACTTCCGACGCAGTATCAGTGTTTCGTCATCGGCTATCTGAAAAATGCATTTCAAGCCGCGAAGTTAATCACTGGCAATATATATTAACTCTCTTTTCCACTTTTATACGGAAAATCTGCGAAAAGTTAAAAAGTCGCTACAAAGGAAAAGATATATTATGCTTATGAAGCCAGATACACAGTAGATATGCTGCCAGGCTGATCTTCGAGTTCAGAGCCGATAGGGTAGTGGACAGCACATCGTGTCCGAATGTGAAAGGGAGGGCAGTTCGATTCTCTACCGAACCAAAACCATTTTTGAACCAGGGCTACAATTTACGACAAAAATTTCATTTTAATACCGCTTATATTTTAAGGGATGCCACTAACGGTTACGCAGAGAATCAACCAGTAAGAAAGCTAAGTTGGCTGCGTAACAAGAACGAAGAAATGAAAAAATGACACTAGAAAAGTTAAACAAGTGTTCAGAAATGAGGTAAAAATATTTGCCCGAATATGAACAATTCAATACTTTACTCTAGGTATACAGAGGATACTCTGGCTTTCTCAGCGGCGCTTTGATTGGAAGCATTTTTGATCTTAATGCATATAAGGGGTTAAAAAGTAAAATTAAAGCACTAACCGATTGCTCTCGCAGCGTTTTGCCATGATCTAGCCAGAGAAGCTCTTCGTCAGTATGCAATTTCGCTCGCAGCTGCTCCATCTTTCGCTCCTTATTCCTGCCGAGTGTGCCAAATCCAAGACCGCGATCTTCGCTTCTGCCCCGTTTTTCCTCTTTCAACGTCAGTGTGGAACGCCAGTCCTGGTCTGACGGCTGACGAACCTAAAAAATGCGCTTCTCGTAGCAAAAAAATATAGGTGCAATAATGTAAGGATTTCTGATCTTTTTTGTGCCACTGAAGCGAAAACGAAGAACTGCAGAGAGTGGATGCTGAGCTGTCATAAGTTAACAAGCGCCAATATAAAACCCAAAGATCAATGGGTTCCTTATAATTTGGAATGGAAATGTTCCCAGTTTTTGATTGCAAAACCCCCCAAAATCCTTGGGAAAATGACTCCCTCGAAACTTCAAAATCCAGCCTTGACTGTTTCAAGTTTAGTGCAAAAACGCATGACTGCACCGGCAAGCCTGGTGTGTCTCAGCTTAGTTTTTTGTGTTTTTTTTACTGCGATTATTTACGCAAGTGTCAAGACTAAAGGATTGTCCGTATACTCAAAATTTTACGCTGAAAAAACTGATCCCTTTATATTTCTGAGTTCTCCAAAGAAAAAGAGAAACGAAGTTTCAAAACGTGAAAAAAAATTATCAGACGCACCAAGACTACTCGAACCATCAAAGTGATGGCCTTATCTTAGTGATGTTAATTATTTAAGCTACTTACCAAAAATTCTAACTGTCAAACAATAATTGCTAAAGTACTAACCAACGAGTACTCTTCGTGATTACTGATGCCAATTTTCGAACAGACAACAACCATAATTTCACCCACTGGTTGACTTTCATCCACCATAACTGTTTTCACAGCACCATCAAGCATTCGTACTTTCAGTGGACGGATTTTTTTCTTGTATTCAACTGTATCCTAAAAATTTTTCATCCCTTAAAATTAGCCTCTTCTCAGTTAGCTTCTGAGAATCATGAACAACTACGCAACATCGCTTCTTCCTACTCCAAAAACGCAGTTTTCTAGCATTCACAAATTAATAATCGCCGAATCTTTCTGGTTACTACTGTGGGTCCAAAACCGTCCGAGCTATCACAGGCCTATCGCGCCAAGCCATACTTTCATGTCTTGGAATACTTGCTACCAAGTGGTATTCGCCGTCTCCACCATGCATGCGCAACACTCCTTCGGTTATCATCCAGGGATATTTACAGTAATTATTAAACTAAGTGTATAAATGCTAATGTATCTTCACCGCTGACAAAATGGAGTTGGGTTCATAAAAACCATTAGAAGAAGCTTTGAAAGAAACGATTTTAGGGACGAAGAGCTCACCCCGCTGCGAATCAGATAGTACTCCAGCGTTCGGCCATTTTCCATCCAGACACATTTTGTTGGGTCTTCTTCT